GTCACAGGTCTCATTCGATCTGGTCAGCTAGCGTGGGCTGAGAGGCCGTTGTGGTAAGTTTTCACATCATCTGTGGATGTCAACCTCTGATGCAATTCAGTGGTAGAAGTTGGTCTTTATTTTTATTGTCAGATTTTAATTTTTTAAATCATCTCATAGTTGTGTCAGAGTGTATTTGCTTGGTTTTATTTTTTTTTGATTATTTTCCTATTATTACTAACCTAAATTTTTCATTACTTTCTGATTATCTTTGTCTGACTGAATTTTGCTGCTTAAATTTATTGATATGACTTAACATTTAGGTATGACGTTTACGTCGCGCATCCTCCTCTAGAGCCTCATGATTGGAATGTGAAGCACGCTAAGTTTGATGAACCTGTGAGTTTTCCAAGTTCTTTTCATTGACTTTATGGGAAATACATTAATCTTTTCAACAGCATCTTTTCAATCGACATTTGAAGACGGCTGCAATCTCTTTTTGAATCAAACGTAGTTCAGGTACGAAAGATCTTCTATAATGAAGACCTAATAAGAGCAGCATTCTACAAGAAGTATCGTGGAGGTGTTATGAATTTGGAAAACGCACGAGAAAGCTTATCGCAGCAGTTTATCAAAGAGTATGAGCGGATTAAGAATGAAGGTGATCAATCATTTATTTGGTACTAGCGCACCTTACATTATCATTCTTATCATTCTCTACCTCAGATAAAGGAAACGCTTCACAAGAAGAGCTGTTTCGGCGGACAGAGGAACGGATGAAGGAAGCTGGAGTGCAGCTGAAATAGGAAATGGATGTTCTTAGTTGTAGTTAATATATTTGTTTATTGTTTCCTGTTAATATGTATAAAGCATTGGTCATCTTTCAATTGTTAGTCTTGATTTTTGGGGTGACTTCCAGTGCATATCATAGACATAACATATGTTTTGTGGTCCTAAATTTTCACAAAGGTTTCTTTTCAGAGTTACACTGTAGGAAAGCTCATCCTATAATCACCGGCTATGAAGCAGCTGACTGCAAATGAAGTGAGGATACTAGGCAGATTCTATGTTATTTCCAGCTTTACTTCCACTTTAGGTGCGTTCCACCTTCATCGAATTTTTCAAGCAGAAGAAAGCACATACTTATGTGCATTCATCTTCTGTCATCCCACACGACGACCCTACTCTTCTCTTTGCTAATGCAGGGATGAATCAGGCATGTTTTCTCTCTTAATGTTTTTTATCCTTTTTGATATCGATGTTGATCTGTTACTTGAATTCTGTATATCCGCATCCATAATTCTCTACATGTCTAAATTTACACAATTTTTGTTTG